GACCATGGTAGTGATATTTTGAAGCATATTATTATTTATGTGTGTTTTTTCTTTTCAATATTTTTTTTTTTAAATATTTTAAAATTATTGTTGGTCTTATAAAAGACTGAGTTTACATTGCTTTTAATGTACCTAGTTGTCGTTCTGAAGATCAATTTATTTACATTTTGTTTTAATTTATCAACCAAGGTACAACTTTCTGCCGTTCACTATAAAAAACATTCATGCCTTAATGAAATTCACTGTACAAAACATTACCAACCTCGTCAAATTCTTCAGCGGCTATGTGGCAATGGCAATCAATGTAACCTTCCATATTCATTCGTCCTTTCGGTGAAATGTGTTATGTCCAGACTCAGACAGAAAATAACAATTTTTTTTGTTTATCTGAGGTTCAGTGAGAGTTCAAAACAATGCTGCGATCTGCGCTTGACCCCGGATCAGCTGCGGAATCTCGCGAGAATTCACTTCGTGTCATTCGAGAGGCTACCGAACTGTACGCTTGCGCAAATGTCACAGCGCGAAAAATTCAAACAAAATGGCGGATGCTGGGTCCACCAAAGTTGGAACACCCAGAAGTAGCGCTAGATGTCCGATTGCTGTTCATAGTAAGCATGCTTTGGATAAACTTGTTAATGGAGTCACCAGTGCAATTCAAGAGGTCATTGGCAAACTAACAGACTTAGACGATGAACAGAAAGAACACTTGAATATTCGTTATACAGAGGTATGATTTGACATTGGCTTGTTGTGGTGATTGTCCATATTGTTTCGTACTGTTAGCGCTGGAAACGGTCTGGTGTACGATGGCACTAAAATATGACTCGCAGGCACAGTTCTGACAGTAAATAGCTATTTTCTACACGAATCTAAAGAATAATATTGTGATCTCTTTCTTAGTGAAGTTTCTGATTAACATTACATTTTAAACGCCAAATTAGAAATGTAAAACTTTCTACACAGTTGGAATAAAAACAAGTTGTTATCTGTCTATCTATCTGTCTAATAATATCTTCTTATCATTTGCCAAATATGGAAACAAATCACTATTTAGTATATTGTACTATGGTAGGAGTATTAGCCACCAGTGAAGTAGAAACCCATATTGTGGTTGTGCAGCCGGCATTCTCAATATAGACATTTGATAACAAAACACAATTTTCAACATACAAACAATGTTGTCTTTACAGTCACTTGAAGGCTGAAAATTCCTATGACGTCTGGGGATTCATATAAATTATAGCTATTCTTCCTCTTCCACATACACACAATTCACAAATTCTTTTTTTCATCTTCATTACCAGATATATCAAAATATTATTCATGACAATGTGTTAATTAATGGCAAGAGTTGGCATGAAGCTGAAGATGTCAATGATGATACCGTGGGTAAGTATTATTAGTAGGTAATGTATCATAAATCATAAATTCAATTATTCAATTCTACTCATTCAGTAGCACAAACCGATCAATACTATGATCATAATTATAGTTTCTAGAATCTATTTTTGTGACAATCACTACTTGATACAGTGCATTACTGCATTTGCTTTATTAGTAGTGCATGTGCTTACATAAATGACTGAGTAGTTGGTCTATGGTAAATCTAATAAAAAATAATATTTTAATGATTCAATAAATTCAATCCAATTTGTTTTGTGTATGTGCACTTCTATTTCTAATAGAACAAATACAGCATTTGGTTTGCAATGAGTTACATACACAATTTATGGCCAAAAAAGTATTTACAAGCTTTACTGATTTCAATTTCTACACACAATATATTTCTTATAAAAAAAAAAACATGTCTCATGTTTTTATTCAGTCAGTCAGACATTAATAATTAAATTTGTAGCCCTAAGTAAAAATATCCAAGGTAATTACTGTGATCTGCCACTAGAGGGAGCTTTAGTTTATGTTCATGTAATTGTCTTTGATAATTTAAATTACATATTTATATATTATAGTTTTGATTTAATGTGCATGATGGCTGAATAAAAAAACTATATATGATTGATTTCAGAATTTGAGCCGCTTGATATGGATCTCCAGAGGACTGTGGATCAGCAGATACTTGAAATTGATGACACTATTGTTAGTTTAACCAAAAAACGAAAAAAATATCCTAAAAAAATCACCCAGTGTCTGAGAGATGTGCATAATTGTTATCAAAGAATGTTGGTAAGTTTATCTTTGTTTAGTTTAGTCATCATAAAGATACACTACGTACGGTACATTGGAGAAATGAATAGATGAACATGTCTCCTGCTGAAAGCCTCCATAGATAGCTGAAATGACAGCATCAGTAGACGATGTGTAAATAGGAAAAATGATTCAGTTATTACATCTCACACATACAAATGGGCTGTGATGAATGAATATTTTACTAGGGAGTTCATAATCTGATTAAAATAAAATGTATTGTACAATGTTTTGTGTCATATTAACCCACTCACATACATCTGACCAACTCCAATAGACATTCTTGTTCAACAATATAAATAAATTACTCATCCAATCAGAAAATGTTTTACTTCTCCTGTTTTGAGTTTTGAGCTGTCTGAAAGGGGGATGATTTTACAAACTCGTCTATGGGCACGTTTACCTCAGTTTTCCACAAATTAAATGCACATCACTGTCTGTTATCCCGCAGATATATCTTACAATGTACATACATACAGCCTGACACTTTGTTAAAAACACCTGTTCTGATTGGACATTGGAAATTGCAATATTTGAATGAGATTCCCTATAAGATAAGAAAAATGTTAAATTATACTCAAAAGCTATCAATAAATCATATTGTAATCAGATTGGAAGAACACTGCGCTATATTTACGTGTGTCTATGGTATTTGAATGATTCAGTAAACAATAAATGCAATTGTTCGTTGTAATTGGGTTTCCAATAGAATAAATACAGACATCATATTTGGCTTTTGTAAATATGAAATTAGTGCTGAGCCAATGGTGTAAGTGTGGTTGATATTTACATTTGGTTGTCAGCTGCTCACTTGAACTACGCCACATATCTTTTTGTGAAACAAAAAGATGAAAGCACAGTTTATTGTTCTCAGTTAAATGCTCAAAATTGGTTATCACTCTTATCATGCAGACACTCTACACTGCACTACTCACCCACTCACTGCACTGCACTACTCACCCACTCACTGCACTGCACTACTCACCCACTCACTTGTTTAGAGTCTGAGTGGAAAGCCTAATATCACTCACTTTTACAATGACTTTGGTCCAGGACTAATATGAACTGAAGTCTTCTCAAATATGTCATGGTTGTTTCACTGTGTGAGACTGTTTTATTTTAGGAAGAATATAAACCTGAAATTCCACAACAAGTCATAGGTGAAGAAAGCAGACTTGATCCAACTGGTATGTTGCTATCAATTGCATCTCCCAAGTACATGTATAATACTGTGTGCACTTTTGTGTTAGAAAAGTTTGATATACATTGTTAAAATCACTGTACTGTTATTACCATTGATTAAATCAACTGTTCGCTCAGCAATTATTTTCATGATAGAACAAAAATAGATATATCATCAAATGTTTTTTAGTCCCCGTTCGAACGTAGTCCGAAAACGGGGACTTATGTTTTGCCCTGTGTGCGTTCGTGATCACCTGTATCTCGAACATACATGGACCGATTAAGTTCAAACTTCACTCATACATCACACATTATATGGGACATACGCATATGCATTTTTTTCATGATCCGATTAACGATAGCCGAATAGCTGCCATTTTAAGGCCGAAAATGCATCAAAATCGCATTTTTTCACCATTCCGGACGGGTCCTACTATTTAACGCCCGGACACGCGAGGGAGTGTCCGGGCACGCGCGGAGGCGAACAGGGGGGAATACCTAACACGCGGGGCAGCAGCAGCAATCCTTGTACTGTATAATATTCGTTTATGCTCAAAATTTGAACCGGAGTGGCGAATTCGAGCAGCTATCCACACTTTTTATGATCGACGCCCGGGCATTCCGGCGAGTCGAGTCCGCCATGTTGTTTACTAATTTTGGTTAGCGTTTAACAATAGGACAATACCATTCGATCCATGGGGGTGACAGTCCTACGAA